TTTTTTTTTTTTTTTTTTTTTTTTTTTTGTGAGACGGTCAAATCGTTGAGCGGGCTATGTGAAAAATATCTACTTATGTTAGTAATATTATAATTTTATTTATGTTGTATTTTTTAAATTATAATAAAATTTATTATAACTGAAATAGGTATATTTGTGAAGAAAAAAAAAAAGAACTACAGTAAATAAATTTCCCCTAGTTTTGCATAATTATCATTGTTTTTCTTGACTATTTAACATTTTTTAATTAAACCGTTGCTGATTATTATTTGGATAATATTGTACAGCTTCAACAATGTATTATATGAATAAATTAAGACGACCGATTGTGATCTTTATCAACATGGATTATGAAATAATTTTTCAAGGACCCCACGCGTTCGCTGAGGTCTCTTGATATATTGATTAATATATATGTGTTTAACCTTTATTAATTTATATCACAAACTAAGCAAAAATTATTTCAAATCAAATACGCCATAGATCGTGATATTTGAATTACTAGCTAGTATTCATTAATTACTAATAATGTTTTTATATTAGAATAGTATCTGATTTGGCATCAAATTAAACAAAACAAATTTGACCTTTGCATATTATTGAAGGGGACCATAGCTTTAGTCTCTTTCGACGACATATAATTATGAGTAAAGAGATTAATTTTCTGTTTAATACCAATTTATGATTTTGATGTACGTACGGAAAATGTTCCAATTGTAAATATTTAATTATCCATTTGTTATTTATTTTTTTTTTTTTTTTTTGGTACAAGGACCTTTCGGTTTCTGGATCCACAAAAGAACCGACTAATCCGGAATCGAGCCGGGTAGGACCACAAGGGTGGCAAAGCTATCCATTTGTTATATTTGATTACCAATCTATGAGTTTCATGTATGTATGAGAAATAATGGTCCAAACAAATTAATTTTGCATATATTTAAGTTATATAATAATAATAAAGAGAGAATCTAAATAATACTATCCCAAAATTTTCCTCCCCATGTTTTCATCTAAATATGGAAATTAATCATTACATTTTATATTAATTAATTAAATCTAATAATATATTTTAAATTATTCTATCATAAAACTACTAATAAATAACTAATTATAAATTCAAACTAGAAGTTACACAATTATAAAGAAAACTTTATAACAATTTTTTTTCTTCAAGGTATTTGTGTTACAATTACTATATACATATAGATTGTGATCACATTAAGTAATTTTTTGAATAGTAAATGGTTTAATGGCATAAAAACTCCTTAAAATTGTGTAAACGATGGGTATAACAACAATTTTAATATTTTTTTTTTTGGTACAGGGAACTTCCGTTTTTCAGATCCACAGGGGAACCGACTAATCCGGAATCGAGCCGGGTAGGACCACAAGGGCGGCAAAGCTCTCCCTCAAGAGTTTTAACACTGCTGCATTCCCAGGGCTCGAACACGAGACCACTGGTTAAGCTGGAAGAGACCCAAGTCATCTCATCCAAGCGCTCTTGGGTTTTTTATTTTTCATTTAATTAATTGATCACGGCATCTCAAATTTATAAAATTTACACTATTCAGTAAATTTTGTGCAATCTATACAGTGATTCATATATGAATAAAATAATTTATAATTATATATTACTCATTTTTGTTAATGATCAAATTTATAGAATACCAATTACATAACTTATGATTTCAAATATAATATCTATACAATTAAATTAAATATATTATTTGCATATTTGTACGAGCACAAAATTGAGTACTAGTTAGATGATAATATGCAGTAGCTAGTCACCATTATTCTAGACATTAACCACACAGAGTCATGAAAAATGCATATTGAAACTATGAAATGTCTATCTTTATATATGTTGTAATTGTAAATATGACATTTGAATATGAAAGTATAAATACGTGTGGGAAAGATATAACGACTGCCTAACGTTAGACAATAATCTAACATAAGAACTGCACACACACATTAATGGGTTCACTCACATCACACAAACTTCCCATGATAGAAATCTCAGACAAAAGCTCAAAACCTGGGACAGAATCATGGTCCAAAGCTTGTACAAAGGTAATTGGTGCTCTAGAAGAATATGGTTGTTTTGTGGCATTGTATGACAAAATCACCCATGAAATCCATAACGGAGTTTTCAACGCCATGAAAGAACTGTTTGATCTTCCAACTCGAACCAAAGTACAAAACAAATCCTCGAAGCCCTTATATGGCTATGTTGGCCAAATCCCTCTAATTCCTCTCTACGAAAGCATGGGCATTGACAATGCCAATACTCTTCAAGGCATTCACAATTTCACCAAAGTCATGTGGCCTAATGATGCAAATCATGGGTTCAGGTACATTTATTGTTTTTTATTTCATCTTTTTCAATCTAATTTTTCATGTGGCCGAATACACAAATGTTATTGTCGGACTGCCTAATAAGAAATGTCATACTTTTGTTTATAACTTTTAGAGTATGACATTGATTGCGAAAGTATGTATATTTGTAGAAAGAGCATGATTGCCTTCCCCTAAATATGGTATTTTTTTATTTTTTTTTTCAGTGAAAAGCTTTTTTCGTACACAAAATTGGCAGCAGAGCTAGAAAAAACAGTGGTCCAAATGGTATTTGAGGGCTATGGAGTTGGAAAGTACTATGAATCCCACATCGGCTCAGCCAACTACCTCTGCAGGGTCATGAAATACAGAGAACCCAAAGCTAATGAGAACAAAATGGGATTTGTGTCCCATACAGACAAGAGCTTTATGTCCACAATCCATCAAAATCGAGTCGACGGTTTGGAGATCAAAGCCAAAGACGGCGAGTGGTTTGCTGTTCGCGAGCTTTCTCATTCATCCGTTGTCGTTATGGCTGGTGACGCAATTATGGTAACCTTATTTTTCTCAAACTATATTAATTATGTACACAATCTTGATTATTTATAGCTTCTTGTTTTGTGTGTTTCAATTATTTATAGTTCTTTAAGTTAATAATTAAGTTTTGGCTAAAACTTTTGTGGTTGGACCAGGCATGGAGCAATAATAGGATAAAGTCACCTCACCATAGAGTGACTATGGAAGGAAACGAGGCCAGATACTCCATTGCACAGTTCTCGTTCATGGATAATCTAACGGTCCAAACGCCGCCAGAGCTGGTTGATGAGGAGCACCCGCTGCAATATAAGCCGTTTGATCATCTCGAATTTCTTGAGTTTTACAGCAGGGAAGAGAACAGGAAGCTTGAGAGTGCTATTAAAACTTATTGTGGTGTATGAAAATATAATGTATTTTTGGTTTGTTGAAAGCTTATATGTGTCTGCATGGTATTGTGGTTTTCTTTATTCTATTTTAATTTTAATTTTATTTTTGGTCTATTCTTTTTTAATCATGTTTCTAATTTGGTTCTTTGGACTTAGGTAAAGGGAATGTGATATTTTTGCTTAAAATTGTATTATTATATTGGCTTAAAATTGTTTGTGCCGCTGCTAAACTGATACTCAATTATTATTTCTAATATGTATAAATTAATGATTATGCGAATTTTATCTTTTATTCTTAAGTTGATGTTCTATGTTGACATAATTTTGTGTGTTAAATCAGATGGGCAAAAAGTACATAACATGATGTATGCGTGAGTTAATGGCCTTGTTTGGTAATCAGCTGTTAGCTGTTAGCGGATTGTTATAGCTGTTTTGACCAGCGGATTATATTAGCTGTTTTGACCAGCGGTTAGTTTTAGCGGATCTGCAAAATGTTGTTTGGTAAACTTAGCGGATCGGTTTAAAAAAATTATGTGGCATTATTAATTTAATAAAAATAAAATAGTTTGTATAAATGATGATAAAAAATAAATTTGATATGATTAAGTAATTTTAATTAAGTTTTCATATTTATAAAAAAAATCAACATAAAAAATAACTAATTAAAATATTAAAGGTGAAAATTTTAAATTGTATTAAATATTCATTTGATATCTGAAAAAAAAAAAGGTTGTATGAAAAAGCCAAATTTGTATGCAATTTCTACGGTCAGCTAAAGCTTTTAATTACTTAAAAAAAAAGTGTGCAAGAATTTTTTTTTCAAAGTAGTAAGCACAAAAAAAATAAAAAAAAATGTAAAAGCACAACAAAAAAAACGACCAAAAAAAAAGTAAAAGCACTAAAAGGCGTAAGATTCTTTTATAAAGTGGCAAAAGGAAAAGCTAAGTCGAAACGCTACAATTCCTAGCGTTTATAATTTTGGCGTTTTGGACCTAAAAGCTAATCTCAACAACCATTTTACCAAACACAAAAAAAAAATAATTTTAGCTTTTTCTGATTCGGTCAAAACCGCTAAAATAGCGTTTTGTCACACTTAGATTGGCCAAAGAGCAAATACTTTTGATAAGTTTGTATATATATCTGGAACCATTTTATTAAGGCCTTGTTTGGCGATCAACGGATAGCGGATAGCGAATAGCGGATTGTATTAGCGGATAGTGGATAGCGGATTATATTAGCTGATTTGACTAGCGAATTGCATTAGTGGTTTTTAAATAAGTGTTTGGTAAATAACAGAAAGCTTATAGCTGTTTGACATTGCAAATTACCAATAAAGACATTTTATTATTTAGGGTGTATTCTTTTAATAATAATATATTAAAACATTTAATATTTTTTAGTTGGTA